GTGACACCGGCCATCTCGAGCGAGTACCATCGCGATCCTTTTCGCATGACATATCCATAAAAGGAGTTCAGGATGACCTTGTGCGCCAGTTGCATCGAATCGAACAAAACTACCATCTTCTTCGCGTCCTCAATTTGAGAAGCTGGCGCTCCTGCCTTCTTCAAGTCCTCCGTCTTGCCCTTCCATACCTTCTGCTTGCCCTTAAAATCGTAGCGTCGATCGCGAAAGGCCACTACAGTGTCAACATAAAATGGGTTTTCTCGCTGGCAGATGATAGCTTCGCGTTCTATGGTTGTCTGGTCGTGGATTTTGTGATAAATCTTTTTCGAGTAATCCGTCAAACGCTTCCTGATGAGTGTGGCTTGCTCATCTATTGGAAGCTCCTGAAAGGTCCTTGTCATGGAATTGGCGTACTTGCCTGGAAAGCGCTCATTTTCAAGCGCATTTCGAACCATATTATACTCATCGCGTTTAGCTGGGAGATATTCTCCTCTCCATGCCCACGGCATGCGACGATCGCATGTCTTGCCTGGCCGGTTGAAGTCGCAGGCTGCACAATTGGATTCCTCGATCATGGAGTCAGGCTGCAGTCGATTTGTTGTCATGATGTTGGGATACATGGATGCAACATCCAAGTGGTAGATGAGTGGCCGCTCGCTTCGATTTGGTGTGTTCTTTAGCTGCATGAGCTTTTCAACAATCTGGCCCTTGACCTCTTCGTAGTTTGTGACGTCCTCCATCTTTTTCTTCTCCTCGACTGTGATGCTGAACTTGAGCGCCGCATCAAGATCTCGAATAAGCTCGTCAATGGCCGTAGGATCTACCGCGAAGTCGTATGGAATATCGCTGCGAAAAACGCCTGCTTCGATACTCTCAACGTGACCTCCGACGTATGTCTCGGACTCTAAGAGGTGACCTTCCCAGAAGGCTTCCTTAGGCGCCTGGTGCTTGTTTGGAAGGACAATACCCTTCTGATATGCTTGCACCATCAACAACATCTCGCAGAGAGTACCAGTGCCCTTTCGCAGTGTGTCATCCGGACCCAGCGGAATGATTTTACACAAAGCAAAGATAAATGGATGTACATACTTCATGTACAGATAGTATGTTGCAACAGCATCGGAAACGGAGTATTCGGCAAGCGTCTGCGGTCGCTCAGAAGCGTAAGGCGTCATCAATTCCGGATCCAGTTCGTCAGGGTCATAGCCCAGCTTGGCCATAGTAACAGCTTTGAGACCACGACTTCCCTGAGGCAGGTAACTGTCTCGGCTAACCCAAGCGAAGGCGTCCATGTGCGCGCAGTAGTCAGACTGGTAGATATCCTCGCTGTTCTTTCGGAAACCGATCTCTTGATACATGTCGATACCCAATACGCTGGCTCTTGCCTCGACGAATGGCCAATCGAAGAAGTCTCCGTTGTACGTAACCATGACTGTCGGTCTCGCCTCCTTGATATGTTCGAAGAAGCGCTCCAGCAGCGTCTTCTCGTCTGGCTCGTTGAAGATCATGAATTGGCCTGGGTATTCTGGCTTCGGTGTATATTCGAAATCCTGGATATCTTCCGACACGATTTCACGATTCGTGATAAGAAAACCTTGTCCGTCAATCATATACGAAACCATCATGATCTGATCAATGACGGCATCAGGAAACTTCAGTGGGAGCTTCGTAGTCTCGATATCGTACGCCATAACAACAGGGTCCGCAGGCGTAAGTCGATCCTCTATGCATGTCATGCTGACAACGCCATGCTTTGCCTCCACTGTGTACCAGTTTCCAATTCTGACGTCTTTGTCGATTGCGACTCGTACATGGTAGGGAACGTCGTACTCGCGAATGTCCAGGATGTAGTCGCTGGAATCGACAACGGCCGTAAATCGTTTCTCGTGTTCATAATCGTCATTGTCGTAGAAGTCCATATCTACATTCCCTGTCGCGACCTCGGCATATGTGTCCATGGCGTTGACGTTCTTCAGGTTTTTCTCCACTATCGGCGCGACCGCCTTCCTGACAGCTAGGAGATCGTTCACGTTGGCAAAACTGAGTTGCAGCAGTGTTCTCCTGTACCCAGTGAGATGATTAGGCATAGACAAATCCTCCTTCTCCACTCTCTTAAACGCCTTGACAAGCCCTTCGAACGCTCTCCTGCACCATTCTTCAACTTCTTGCTCCTTGCCCTTCTTTACTGCGAGCAAAAAGTACGGGTCGTACTCCAAGGTCGCCTTGAACGTGTCTCCATCATCGCCAAGGAAGTAGTAGTCGACTCCTGCTCTCCCTCCCGGCACATGCTCGTCTTCTATCGAAGTCGAGTGCATGTTGACAAGCCACCCAACCTTCTTCTTGCCAGACTCGAACCGCGGAAAGCCCATGGCCTCATCGATGCGGTTCGCCAGGCGTGTAGCTTCGAGCTTCTCGTTCTGTGATGTCTGTTCTGTGCTTCGCAGCGACCCTGCGTCTACAGTCTTTCGCTTGTTGTGTCCGTAGTTCGACTGCCCGCCTTTGCCAACCCGGCGGAAGGGCTGGCCTGCTCGTCGCGGCGCGCCCATTTTGTATGTTATGTGGAAAGAGAATTAAAGAGTCGTAAGTGCTGGTATATGCAGTTTAGGGTATCATCTGGACAACTGAAAGTGGAAACGACGCGGGGTATCGAGGATTGGCAGTGTAGCCGTGTAATGTGAGAGAGATCTGAGGGATGCAATGTCCCCATAGAAAACACGCTCCACGCGACGCGACTCCCCGCGCGTTTGCCGCTAACCGCATCTGCTAAAGTGGTGAGATCCACCACCATGCTCCCCACGTTCATGATCGCGCGACCCAGGTAAACGGCAAGTCAACTACTCCTATCCCACCATGTCGAACGAAAACGCAGATGCTATAGATACCGAAGCGCCAGCGCCGAGTCCAACAGCTATATCACAGCAAACCTACCGCCAAATTGCCGCCACGCACATCGCTGCGCTCAGCACGCTCAACAGCAGCTTGCCCGATATCCTCACTTTTGTCGCTGCCGTATTATCTCAGCTCACAAATCACCCGATACCATCTGAGCCGCACGAGGACTCTGCCAAGGCGCGCAGCATCGATATTGGCCTGTTCAGCGGCGCAATAAAGGAACTCGTGCAAGCGTTTCGCGAGGCGCTGGTGGCTCAGATAAACGATTTAGAGCGCTACAAGGTCATTCCTGCAACGCTACCTAGGTATACGCCTTTACCCGGCACTGTACGGGGGGTGGAGGTACCACTGGATCAGCAAGAGGAGGAGCCCCCAAAGCACGATCCCGACGCTGGTGTTAAGAACGGAGGGTATGGGAATTTTGACGTGGGAGTACTGAATGCTCAGGTCTCGACTGGGTTGGTGGGTGATGAGCATGCTTTGGATAGGGTCAAGGCGCTTCTAGACGACTTGTTGGAGAGAAGCGGCCGGAGGCCGGAAGGGGAGGATATGGTGGTCGATGGGTGAAAACAGAAGGGGCCTTCAACGGAAAGAGATGATACATGGACGTTACTTCACCGCCAGCTGCCTAGTCTTGCGCTGCCTTTGAGTTAGGGTGAAAGGCTTACCCCCAGGCGCAGACGGACGGCTTTTAGTGGCAACTTGACTCAAGCCCGAAGCTTGCGAGCAGCTTTGAGGCTGAGGATAACTGCATTTCCTGGTTTTTCAGACGGCTCTCGGATAAGGAGCTTTGGGGTGGTTTGTGCGTTCAAGCTTCGTGGACTGCTTTTGCTGGAGTCTAATACCCAGTTATTTAGGATACGGGTGCTGTATTCTGAGAAGGGTAATTCGTCTGCCAATTCCCTGAGACTTCGTAGGTTAATTCAAGCACAGTCTGCTATGAGATACTCAGCTTAGCCACTCAATAGACCAAGGAACGTGCCATACAACCATGGTTGTCTTAGCGCTTTCCAAGTCGATGTCGAGTGTCTTCTTGAAAGCCCGGTGATCCTCGTGTTCTCCACTTTGTATCGGTCAGTCTTGTTTCGCTAGATCATCGGATCGCAGTCAACGAAATTGGTACAGCACCTTACCGCCGACTGACCTCCGGGGCCTTAGAGGATTCAACCAGGAAAAACAGAAGAGAGAGTGAAGCCTATGAACAGTGTAACTATCTTGACTTTTTTCTAATTGCCTAGCACCCACTAATGGACACCTAAAGGACTCCTAAGTTGCCTTTTGCAGAGTGCTCGGTATCCAGTCGGTCGTGGCAAGGTGCTGTATATAATGGATCACCCAACCGAAGGGCCCGATTTCATATCCAAGTGATCCTCAAAGCTAAGATTCATTATAAGCGTACTCCAGGTATTGTAAGTTCTGCGGATTTTGCGGTGTTTCGTTGTAGTCCTCAGGCAGCTCCGCGCAGATATATGGTAAGCGCAAGACGCAGTATGCGCAAAGGGTAATCGGACAACTCGGCTCTGATTGGCAGGACACAAATACGTAGAAAGCCTTGTACGATGGCTACGCAGCTTGGTGCCGTCTTTGCTTTTTGCCTCCGTACCATTGAGCTCTTCCAAAGTAGCAAATCGATGGTCAGGAATGACAAGATGTGGTGTACGAAGTGCAATGTGCATAGAAGTCAGCCAATCAGATTACGGGGGAATGGCTGTCATATCGTTGGAGAAACAAAATGCCATAAAAGGGGGCCGTGAACGCCAAACAGGTCATATGAATGCCATTCTGCCTCTTACCACCGCAAGGCTTGTTCCCTACAGAGAAAGGAAACAAAGTAAGGCTGATTCCAGGTTCGGTGAGGGTTGGAGGGGAAAATGTAGCACACCAAATGATCACTCTTTTTCTCCGGCGCCCAAGGCCGAGACTCGACGTCACTGACCAGGGTAGGATCGGACAGCATTTTCTATGTTGTTTTTCGTCTCAGTGAGGTCGTCGACTCCGTGTAAAGTTGTTCCAAGGCTTGATTTTCAATTTTTTTTTGAATCCTTTTAAGTATTTTTAATTCTCGCCTATTTTCATCAAACAAACACCATCTGTTCACCTGAACAATATCTTCGATGGTCTAGTGGTCATGATTTCCGCTTGTCATTGCGAAATAACAAGCGCGGGAGACCGGGGTTCGATTCCCCGTCGGAGAGAAGCAGTCAGCCTATATTTTTGCATATTGAACTGACGGTGAGCTGAGTTTCGACGCCACAGAAGGGCTTAGAACACCAGAATATGGAAGACCATACCTCAAAGATACCCAGGGAGAACCACTGGCTTTGTGCTTTTTTGAATGGTCTGTCGAATCGATAGATTCTACTTATGCACGGCCGCACCGGCAGCTACCCCTGAGACGTGGTTTTTCCGGATTTTTTCTTTTTATTGTCAGCGGAAAGCATCGACAGAGTCGAATGATTTGATTAGATACCGGCATGCTTCTTGATGTTTGCGTTGGCCAAATGTGTGTGCGCATTTACAGTAATGTTCGAGGCTCCGACTACACACCTATCCACATGTGTCCATTCTCCTGCATGCTTCTTGATGTTTGCGTTGGTCAAATGTGTGTGCGCATTTACAGTAATGTTCGAGGCTCCGACTACACACCTATCCACATGTGTCCATTCTCCTGCATGCTGGATGCGCATGACGACTTATACAAGAAGAGACATTTACGAAAATAAATGGACTCGATACGTGCCTTTATGAGCTGTTCAGCGACTTCAATGTATCGTTATACACCGGATGTAAGCCAAGAATTTAGCAGCACCACAATATCACCAAAGACAACGATACTCAATTCCTGCAGCTTGAGTGGTGTACTAAAATGATGTCGCATTGCCCTCAGCTACTGCGCATGCGCCGTCTCACATTGTATCGTCTGCCAGGTACACTAAGACTGAAGGGGTTATAAAATGTAGTTCTCCGATTTGTGTACATTGTGAATTATTGGGGCTTTGACGACTCTATTTAGACAGCAAGTTAGTTTTTGGCTTTACTTGGTCTTCTGTTCCTCTTAGGCAACCCATTTTGGATGTCTCCATGGGTGGCTGACCGTGACTTGGCCAGCACACTCCAAGCCTACCTAGACTTAGAATGGGTTTATTGAGGGAGGAACACGCAAATATAGCACTGTTCCAATATGTATGCGATTTGACCCGAATAAATGCACTGCAATTACTCTTATCTCCAAACGCAACTGGAAATGCTGCAAGCCGCTGAAATGCTAGAGTATATCTTCATCGTATCTTCCGTCCGCTATGCTACATGGTAAATCCTTACCCCGCGTGCTTCCGCAACCTCGCACCCGCCCAAAGCACTGGTGCAAAATGCTTCGCCATATTGAATCCAAAAAGCGATATAAACCACAATATCGTCGCCACAGCAACCGGCACTAACAGGAGCTCGGTATGGTGTAAGAACGGAAGCGCGTTGTAGCCGAGAAAAGTAATGATGAAGTAGTAGGTAAGCGCAAAGACGTAGAGCGTGTTTCCCAGGAGTAGAGAAACCCTACAAGTTGCATGTCAGTAGTTGCTGGTGTCCTGATATAGTCTCCGTTCTTACCAATGATTGGTGCCTACCAGTGGCATGCAGAAGAACTGCACCACATAGAGGAATAACCAAACCGGCACGAACGCCCTGATAGACACGTCCCAACAGTATCCAAATTCCAGCTCTTCTTTGCTTTCACCATCGCTGAGGTTGTATAGTCCTCGTCTGCGCCCGGGCAGTAGAGAGTTCCCTGGCCCCAATAGTCGGCCCACCAGGAAATAGAATAGAGTCGCTGTGACCAGCGATAACAGAAGGAAGTGTACAAAGATGAAGACAAGCGTGATGTGAAGTGTTTGAGTGAAGCCGTCGGCGTATGCGAAACCCCAGGCGATTGAGGTCAGCGTGAGAAAGAACGAGAGAAGGTAGGTGAACGACGGATCAGGGCGGTGGTACGTTTTCGTGGTTTGTTTCTGCCCCAGGTTAGTTCTCAGATGTGACAGAGCATTGAATCGGCCATACATGGTAGTATATCTGCCTGAAGACCTTCTTCGGCGCTATTATCAAGCTCATGATTTCCCATATAGCCATCTCGAAGTCCATCTGTGGAAACTTGAAGAGACGCTTGAAGAAGCGCGGCATGCGAACCTCGTTCCGCCGAGTTGATGGCGTCGAGCCAAAATTCGAAGGACCGCCATTTGGTCGAGGGAGCTGTATTTGAGGATTCATTGTGTATGCGCCCAGCGAGGTGCAGGTTGCGCCGGAAAGGTGTCAGAGACAGACAATGGTACGGTGACGATAGGGAGGATTCGATGCTGCATAAGACAGTCGTAGCATCAACAGACTGCCCGAATAAGTAGACTCCAGCTATCGAAGTCGTCAATGCTTGGTGTGAGCGCACAGTGTTGTGTTATGGCCAACGATGACATCGCCAGCCAGCACCAGCCACATATGCTGCCAAGCCCAAAGCGGCTTCAAGCCGAAGCACCGACGTGCAGCCCTCGAGCAACCTTTGCTCCTCATCTCCTCCGCACAACCACCCCGGGGCACTGCACACCATCATCGTTGCTCTCGCGCATCCCGAACGCAGCTTCGACGACCTGCCCATTGCGGCGACGGAGACGACACCTTCTCTTATACGCGCTAAACTTGACCGCGCATTCTCGAAGCCGCCCACGCGACAAAGAGCTTATTGTCTGCGACACAGCTCCTTCGCGCAACCCACATTCTAGCATTGCGTGTCGCCCTCTGCGACCAACTCTAATAATACACAACAGACCTTTCCATTTCTTCTTCCTTCACCACGATCATGGCCGACGACGCGGAGCTCGCTTTCCTCCGGTCGCAAGAACAGGTCTACGATCCTTCTGGAGCCTGGCCTGCAGCTGATGACCAGACTCCTGCCGGCGAAGAGGAATATGACCCTGCCAGTGTCATGGACACAACGCAAGAGCCCGATGACTCCGAACAGCTGGCGTCGATGCCTAATTCGACCACGGATTCACCTCCCGCGGCTGAAGACCAGGGTGAGAATGGGTTGAAGCCCGTTTCTACTGAGACATCTGCCGCGCCCATGCCCGCGAAGCAGCCGCGTACCATCGGTGGGTTCGTCGACGAGAGTGAGGATGAGGATGAGGAGCCTGTTGCGGCAACAAAGGCGGCAGCACCTGCGTTACTGCGCGCCTCTGAGGCTGCAGAGACACCGCAGCGTTCAATTACAAACACTCCAAACAATACACTTCCCACACCAGATGTACAGATACATAGTGCACAAGATCAGGGTGTTCCATCCGTCTCTGCTTCTGTCGCTGTCAATGAGCCTGCTCCCTCTACTGCTCCTGTTCCTGTCAATGGCACGACGCCTGTTCTAGACGCTACTAAGCAAGCAGGTCCTCTGACTATCGATCCTGCTCGCCAGGCGACCGCTTCTGTCACTCCTGCTCCTCCTTCTGCTTCATTACCCAAGGCTCGTCTTCCCCAGGATCGCATAGGTATCCTCAACGATCGCATTCAAGAGGATCCTCGTGGTGATATCGAGGCATGGCTTGGCCTCATTGACGAGCAACGTAAACGACACAAGTATGATGAGGCACGCGATGTCTTCAACCGCTTCTTGGAGCAATTTCCAACAGCGGTACGCACGAGCAGATTAGATCGTAGACTTTCCACTGACAAAGCTAGGGCGAAGTATGGGTTGACTACATCAACTTTGAGACAGAGCTTGACGAGCTTCCGAGAGTGGAACAATTGTTTGGTAAAGCAGTGCCGAACGGTGCCTATGTCCCTGTGTTCCAATGCTACATCGATTTCGTTCGTCGAAGATTCAATCTTACAAATGATACCGCTGGCAAGAGCCGAGAGACAATTGTAATGGCATACGAGTTCGTCTTGGACCAAGTGGGCATTGATGTAGATGCTGGCAAGCTTTGGATTGATTACATTGAACTGCAGAAGACAGCTCCTGGTATACTTGGCGGTACAAATTGGCAGGACATGCAGAAGATGGACACTCTGCGCAAGCTGTATCAGCGTGCAGTATCAATTCCAACCGGAGCAACCCTTGAGATCTGGCGTGACTACGATCGTTTTGAAATGGGTCTGAACAAGGTTACGGTACAGCGTCCGCCTACCGAACGCCGTGCAGCACAGCACTGACATAGCTACAGGGCCGCAAGAATCTCCAGGAAAAGTCTCCATCCTACATGACTGCGCGAAGTGCTATCAACGTCCTGGACAACAACATTACGCGAGGCATTAACAAGACAACTCTACCGAGGCTGCCTCCGGCTCCAGGCTTCGATGGCTACGAAGATTTCATGAACCAAGTGAAGCTCTGGAAACAGTGGATACAATGGGAGAAGAGTGATCCTCTCGAATGCGCAGTTGATGATCGCGCCTTATATAACAAGCGTGTTTTGCACATCTACAAGAGCGCTTTGAGGTCTCTCCGGTTTTGGCCAGAGCTGTGGTACGAAGCAGCCGAATGGTGCTATGAGAATGGCCTACAGACGGACGGTGATAAGTTCTTGGACGATGGCATCAAGGCCAATCCCGAGAGCTGCCTGTTGGCTTTCAGGAAAGGAAACCAGGTTGAACTCAGCACTGAGTTTGAAGAGGGTCAGGCTGGAATAATCGCCAAGGGTAACGCTGTTAAGAAGCCTTACATGGACTTGCTGGACACACTGTACGATCTCACAGCAAAGACGAAGAAGCGTGAAGAGCACTCCATCGCTCGCGCGAGAGAGGCTTTCGAAGCCCAGAAAGCTGCTGACGACGCAGCTCGGGCGATTGCTCAAAGCACGGCGGACGATGCAGACGAGGATGACGAAGCCGAGGCGACGAGGCGTGCTCAGGAGAAGGAGGCCGCTTTCAACATACAAGTGCATGCTATCTCTGCAGGATATAACGCACAGATCCTTACGCTGAAAAAGACATTGACTTTTGCGTGGATTGCTCTGATGCAAGCGACCCGGCGCGTTCAGGGCAAGGGTGGCAACAATTCCGAGGTCCCTGGCTTCCGTGGCATCTTCACAGAGGCCCGCAGGAAAGGAAAACTGCTTAGCGATGCGTATGTCGCCAGCGCGCAAATTGAGCACCATTGTTACCAGGATCCAGCTGCTGGAAAAATCTTCGAGCGCGGCATGAAGCTGTTCCCCGAGGACGAGCA